GGATGGTCTGTTGGTCAGAGATATGCCGAGCTTGTTGCTGTGTCCGCAGAGTCTCTGAGGCCACCAGGATCACATCACCGTGCAGCTGCGCAGCGGCTGTTTCCGAGCAAGCCGTGCCACGAGTTCAGGCCGTTTGGCTGGTGAAAAGGTGGTCCAGGTAGTTGCACCCGGAAAGCATCAGGGTAAACCAATCAAGACACCGAAATTCCAATTCCCTGTCGATAAAGGGTTCAGAACTTGCAGCGCTCATTTTCTCAAGCTGCGTGCGAAAGACAAACCAACTGGGGTTTGGTGCAGTTGACTGCGTTGAGCCTGTGAGGCCCCAATCCGCTTGCGCTGCGTCAGATTTGCCAGCAGACGACCGCCAGGCTGATCCCGCTGCTGCAGCTGCCAACGCTGCGAGATCTCATCGAGCTGGATGAGGTCAGGCGGTGGAAGCGGGCGATCCTCCCTATCATGTCCAAAACCTTTTTCTAAAGCCTTCCACTATTCAAAAAAAGGAATTAGCCAGAACCCCCTGCCACTTTGTTCATCAAGAAAGGCATTTGCTCAGGGGTTGCGCTTCAAATTGCAGGATCTTCAGACAAGATAAACTCATTGAACCTGCCGCTTGGGTTCTCCCTCTCCAGGCTGCTGCGAGCGGCCTTTTCAAGCGCCGGCGGCTGACCGGCAAGACTGCCGGCCGTGGCTGAGCACGGCGCTGTAGGGTGAAAAAGTTGGTGGGGCTGTGAGGGGAGGAGCTAGAGAACGCAGAACCACTCCAAAGCAGATCCTAGGTGAGTGCGAGTAGGACTGTGAGTGAGAGCGAGCGCGTGTGAGCATGTGTGAGTGTGAGTGACAGTGAAAGTGAGAGAGTAAAAGAGTGAGCATCTGAGAGCACAAAATGCGAAATCTGCACTTCGAGGTTCACAAAGTGCTGCGCCTGTCACGAAATCTGCACTTCAGGGTTCACAAAGTGCTGCACCTGCCACGAAATCTACACTTCGAGGTTCACAAACTGCTGTGCCTGCCACGAAATCTGCACATCGAGGTTCACAAAGTGCTGCGCCTGTCACTAAATCTGCACCTCATACCGCTCACTCACTCCCACTCTCACTCTCACTCTCACTCTCACTCTCACTCTCACTTTCACTCTCACTCTCACTCTCACTCTCACTCTCACTCTCACTCTCACT